GGTACAGTTCCAGTGGTTGTTTATATAATGGGGGGTGGGGGGGGGGCGAAAAAAAATTTCTGCCCCGGGCGCCCAGAACTCTGGTTACGCCACTGTACTGTACAGCTGTATTCTATATATCAATGAGACAAGCACCACCACCTCTAAACCTATCACCATTCATTGGTAATCTGCTCCCACTATCATTCATGACTATGTTTTCCCACGCTGCTTTACTTTCTTACTCAACTTTAAGCATTAGCCAGTCTGCAAAAAGTTGCAACACACATATACAAAAAGATGCACAAAGACATTTTCACCACACCATACATACTTACATAGTACAAGAAGTGTCAAAGGGTAATAACAACCAAAATGTATATGTTTCTGGTAGGTGTTGGTAGCTTACACCTACTGGCTTCTCTTTTGCAATGGTGGTGACACTTGTATATGTATTCTTGGGTACAATAGCTTACCGTGAGCAAATAGTGATGTCGGCAGATTTATTTTGCAACAAAACTACCGATTTTGCTATTGCCAAAACCTTGTTGAAATTAACCTTGCATTTCACTATGTGGATTACTTAAGCAAAAATTTCTAACAAAGCCATCTGATCACCATTTTAGCATTCAAATTAATCAGTTGAAACATTACAAAACACATTTCAATGCAAACAGTAAGACATGCATCAATGTGCATCCTGACTTGTACGGTAAACACCCAGTTATCAGGCACCCACGGGGATCGGTAGGTGCCAGATAACTGTAGCTTCGGGTTGCTTGAAAGTTCTCTCTCAGGTTTACTCCTCTACTCAGTGGATAGCCTGCTACTGTCTATGAAATTTGATTGAAATAGCCATTAACAGGCTGGCTGTTGCTCTCCATTGTTTAGATTCTGCTGCTAACCCTGGAATCTAGCTGCCAGCCGGCAGCAAGATGTAAACAAAGAATTTTGCTAATGATATTTTTTAGTGTGCACCGAGCAACTGCCAATTTTTTATTGTGCATCAAGCCACTGGCAAAAAAAATACATAATTTTTTTTGCCGGTTGCTTAAGAGCCGGATAATGGGGAGTTTACTGTACTCACTTGGGTTACCGAGTCGGCTGGCTCTTGGAGCGCTCCCTACAGCATCTTTCCCCCCTCCGCAGCAGCCTTGGAATCCTTGAGGCATCACATCCTATACAGTGTATGACACCAAGGGACATACAGTCGCTGCATTGGTGGAGGAAACAGGCTGGAGGGATTGCTGCCAGCTCCGAGAATTGGGTGAGTTATCACTGCAAAGGTTATTATAATTTCTACCCAGAGTTCTTCTTTAAAGGAAAAACATGTACACTAAAATGGATAAACAAGGAGATGAAAAAGTAACAGGCACAAATATGTTGCTATACGATTGGCCTATTTAATATTAGGGGTAAAGAAGAATCTATTGGATATTTTTTTTTTTGTTTTTTAAACTTGTTCCTCTTTTATGGACAGAAGAAATGGCCAGTCAATGATGGCAAATTGATGTAATAAACCATGGAGGGAATATTTGTAGAAGGTGGGCCTTGGGGCAAAGGGCTACTGTGGCAATTAACCCTTGGCACTTCTGCGAAATGTACCTGCTTGTTAACAAGCGTTTGCATCTTGATGCAGGACCAGTGCAGTAGCCACTATTACTCTGATTACCAATTCACTCTGGCGGCCCTCCCTCATCAGCATAAGTGTTAATTGTTCCATTAGGATGAGCACATTCTCGGATTGGTTTCCATAGCTTCCTGATGAAGTAGATCTATCGGTCTGAGAAAATAATCTTTTTATTTTTTTTGTTTTTTTTTCATAAGTATTGCCTGTGCATCCATCACTTATGGTTAACTGTCAAATTATTAATATTATTGTTATACAGGATTTATAAAGCACCAACAGTTTGTGCAGTGCTTTACAATACAATGAAGAGATGGAGGAATCTGTTGCACTTTTTCCATCTGACCATCAGGGACGCCGAATGTACAGTGGAGAGAGACCCCCTGGGGACACCGGAGGCCTCCTCCGGTGCTGCGGATGGGCCCGGCCGCCTCCACCTCCTGGCCTGTCACTTGTACGCCCGATACCTCTCAGACAAAGGGGCTGAGAGGGTCCAGAAAGTAAAGCATGTTATTAGGAAGAACCTGGCTTTTCAGGTTGTTCCAGGTTTTCCTAAATGTAGCTGGGATCTGGAGCTCTGGAGATCTCTTAGAGCTCTGGGTGGGATGAGATCTCCAGTCCTGGGGCCAGGTGTTACCAATTACCAGTATAGCTGGATCAGGTGGCTGAGAGCAGCCCTATAAGGAAGCCAGCCCAGTGCTCAGGGGAGTGTTGGAGTTGTGTGTGTGCAGGGAGCACACGGACACAGACAAACTTGGGTGCGTGCTGGACGCACACGGAACAGCCAGGTGTGGCTGGGAGAGGTCAGGAAGGTTGGTGACCCCAGGGACCTGTCGGACGCACTGCTGGGAGAGCAGAGCGAGTGCCCACGCGGGGAGAGGTCAGGAAGGTCGGTGACCCCAGGGACCTGTGGTACACACTGCTAAGAGAGCAGAGTGAGGGCTCACGAGGGGTGAGAAGCGTGGGTGTCTTGAAGCTGTGGAAGCTACGGAGCCATATAAAGGACTGTCTTATGTTGCTGCTGCAAGCTATTTTGTGTTTGCCCTTTAATAAACTGCATTATACTTGACTTACCTGGACTACAGTGGAGTGTCCTTGTTACAGTGTATATACAGTATATAATATATTATACATATACAGTCTTCTGCACGCCTACATGCATTGTAGACCGTCAGGCTGCTATTGCTGGTTTACATATTTTCCTGTTAGTTCAGATAAGGGGTCACATGCTTAAGGTAATCAGTTACATGCTTATGACTATCTGACATACTAGAGAAGTGGGCACAGAAGAAGATAGCCAGGACAGCGAAGGTTCTTATATGGACCTGAGTCGTACATAAAGGTAATTGAACGTTACCTTTCTCATATACCTCATAATACTTTATAGTCAGTTCACTGTGCTGCATGGGCTATTTTAACTGTGTTCCTTATTGTACCTCATCAGAATGTTTATTTCATCCATTTAAACATCCATTTTTTTCATTATATGAATATTTAACCACTGAAAGCCCCTACTTTTTATTCATTGGTATTTAGTCTCATGAAACAGTATTATATTTCCTAGAACCTCACAATTATTGCCAGTTAGAAGTTAGCAGGATTTAACGGAGTGATAACCTATACAATTGCCACCTTTTCCTCCGAATAATCTTCAAAATATGCCCCTTTTGGACCAAAGAATCCACAAAGTTACTAATCCACTTACTTGTTATCTTTTGTCTCGACTATTACAATGCCATCCTCATTGGTCTACCTCTTCACAGGCTATCTCCCTTCGGTATATTAGGAATGCAGCTGCCAGACACATCCATCTTACCCACCACTCAATGTCTTTAACCGCTCTTTGCCAATCCCTCCACTGACTTCCAATTGCCCAATGAATACAATTCAAAATATTAACTGCTTACAAAGCCATCGACAATTCTGCTGCCAGCTACAAACCAACTTTGTCCCAAAATATCACTCCATCCTCTTCGCTCCTCCTAAGACTTCCTGTTCTCTAGCTCCCTCCTCATTTCCTCCCATGCTTGCCTCCAGGACATCTCCAGAGTCCTTCCTAACTTCTGTAACTCACCACCTCAACCTGTCTCCTATTCTGTCTGCCTTTTAAGCGATCCCTAAAAACTAATCTTTTCAGGGAGGCCTATCCCAACTGTAACTCACTTTTTACTTTCTCAAACAACTTATCCCCACATGAGTATTATATGGTATAATACATATGGTATTGCTTTGATAACGCAAAGTTTTAATTTTGTTAGTCAGCTAGAAATGTAATCAATATGTCATACAGTAAAGCATATAACATTTGTGGTAGAACCTTGGATATTGACCCCACTATCATGCATAACAATGTATTTCTGACCTGCCTCTGATAAACATATGATTTTTCTATTCTCATTTACACATGCTACCAGTACTTAGTCTTTACTGGACTTCTGCAATGCTGAAGTAACGTTGGAGCTTATTCAAGCTGCTTCTGCAATTCTAATGAGTGAATGAGGAAACATCTTGGATAAAGCTGCGCAACGTCTCTTCAGCATTACTGAACAAGTCCAGTTGAATGGAACTAACTACTACTAGATAAACCATGACTTGGATAAATGAGAACCTTCACAGACATATTCTCATTTACCTATAAATGCTCAAATATATTTTGTTGCTTATCCTAACCTAGCCTTATTTGTTTCTGGAAATGTGTAGATTGTATCATCTTTTTAGGTCTCCCTCTTTATTTTTATACTGTTTGTCTATACCTGTTTACATTCGCCTGTATTACTTATTTAATGTATCTCCAATGCTTTTCTTTACATTACAGAAAGTAAGCATGTTGAACACATTCTTACCAGCGAGACAGGCACCATTCTGTAAAAAAACAGGAACATGTAACTGGTATAAATCTAAAGGGCGGGCTAACTTTCTCAATGTCTTACAGTGACAAGGATATTACTGCTGATTCATCATGTGGATCCATCTTCTGGTTGTATTGGGTTTGATCCTCTTGTACAGATGGTACCGACAAAGTTTAATCTTGGACAATCTTATAGATAAATATGTCTTCATTACTGGATGTGACACAGGATTTGGGAATATTCTGGCAAAGAACCTGGACAGACGAGGAATAAGGGTTCTGGCTGCTTGTCTGACAGATAAAGGGGCTGAAAACCTGAAGGAAGAGACCTCCAGTAGACTGCAGACAGTCATTTTAGATGTCACTGACAGCGAGAGTGTTAGCAGTGCAGCTAAATGGGTGTCATCTATTGTTGGAGAGCAAGGTGAGATTTTACATTTTTCAGCTTTAATATAAGCAATATAAAGTCTGCAATATATGGTGAGGGCAGTGCATTGCCACTTCTTCTCAAATTAAGAATTTGGAGCCAAAGGGGATCTAAGTATAAGTTTGTGGTTTAGTGTGCCAGTGAATAGCTACCTAATTACAAGTTGCCTTTGTTATTAACAAAATTATTTAATCATACATTAAGATGAATATTCAGGTACACTGTGTTATGGTGCTGCCTGCAGGAGATTGGGCACTGGTAAAACAAAGCTGTAAGGACTCCCAGAAGATAGTGCCCCAGAAGAACAGGCATACCTCTGAATCAAGTCAGCTACTACCTACTTTTTTTTCTATCTTTCATCAAGATACTTTTTTTCTACTAGCAAGAATCCTCAGTTGCTATAGAGTCACTGGGGATCATTTTGTAGCTTCCAGATCAGCAAGTACTTGGCATAGCCTTGTAGGCCATACCGGGACCCCACTGTGAGGAGACACAGGTATGGCCTGTAATTTGTCCTTGAGCACTGGACTCTGTTAGGAACTTGCCTAGGTGCCTATGGTGCAACATATTCAGTCAACCATGGGGCCATACTGTACCTGCTGGTGCAAGTCTGTCCCTATAGACCCTTTTATGGGGTATGCCTACGCAAGGGGCGAGGTCTGTCTGGTATATGTTTGATGCTTGGCGTGGGCTACTGTCACCCAGTCAGACAAAGTCTAGTGAGTGACAGAGCTTTCCCCACCTTTGTAAAAGTCAGAACCCCAGGAAATATCCTGTCAGCTGTGGCATTTTAAATTTGTCGAGGCAAAGACATATTGACAGACATGTGATTGGAGAGCTGATGATTTTTGTCCCTACTGCTCACTTAGGTTCAGGGGATGACAATGCTGGGTTTACCATGGGTGGTTTATTCCGGGATCAGATGAAATCAAATGTAGGCTCTGGACCTGGCATCACAGAAGTGACACTTTAGCAGATAGCTGACATGGCAGTGGTGTTAGTACAACAGTTTTGTTCACTGGAGATCTGCCTGTGCAATAGAAAAATGAAGACAAATTGTATGAAGCTTCATTGGGAAACAAATGGGCTTCCTGCGGGAATATGTATGAATTATCATTTTTCATTTGACTTGTACCTAGTGATTTACATCCATTGTTTGATATTTTTGATATACACTATATCACCAAAAGTATTGGGACACCCTCCAAATCATTGGATTCAGGTGTTCCGTGAAATTTCCTTGCTACTACATATTCCGCGGTCAACTGTTAGTGGTTTTATAATAAAGTGGAAGCAACTGGGAACAACAGCAACTCAGCCATGAAGGGGTAGGCCACGTAAAATGACAGAGCGGGGTCAGAGCATGCTAAAGTGCACAGTGCACAGAAGTCTCGCCGCCACTGGACTCTAGAGAAGTGGAGACGAGTTCTCTAGAGTGACGAATCACGCTTCTCTGTCTGGCAATCCGATGGACGTGTCTGGGTTTGGCGGTTGCCAGGAGAATGGTACTTGCCTGACTGCATTGTGCCAAGTGTAAAGTTTGGTGGAGGGGGGATTATAGTGTGGGATTGTTTTTCAGGGGTTGGGCTTGGGCCCTTAGTTCCAGTGAAGGGAACTCTTACGGCATCAGCATACCAAGACATTTTAGACAATTTCATGCTCCCAACTTTGTGGGAACAGTTTGGGGATGGCCCCTACCTGTTCCAACATGACTGTGCACCAGTGTACAAAGCAAAGTCCATAAAGACATGGATGAGCGAGTTTGGGGTGGAGGAACTTGACTGGCCTGCACAGAGTCCTGACCTCAACCCGATAGAACACCTTTGGGATGAATTAGAGCGGAGAATGCGAGCCCGGCCTTCTCGTCCAACATCAGTACCTGTCCTCACAAATGCTCTTCTGGAAGAATGGCCAAACATTCCCATAGCCACACTCCTAAACATTGTGGAGAACCTTCCCAGAAGAGTTGATGCTGTTATAGCTGCAAAGGGTGGTCCAACTCAATATTGAACCCTACGGACTAAGACTGGGATGCCATTAAAGTTCATGTGCATTTAAAGGCCGGCGTCCCAATACTTTTGGTAATATAGTGTAAGTTTGGTTTAAAAAAAAAAAAAATCTTTTTAGTATGTAGAGTCCCTTTTATATAGATGAACATTTTATTGTGTAATGTTTTGTGTTCACCAAGGACTCCATATTTGTTGTACTTTTGGGCAGCGTTAGTCAGACTTTGGTCTAGAGATTTAGTGGTTGCTATGAACAGACATTTCTTTTACTGACCATTTAACAAACAAAGCCTTATGTAACTGGCTACAGAAAAGCACTGCACAGATACACCACTTCCATCCATCCATCCATCCGTCCAGTATACACCATAATTTCCCAAAAACCAATTTGTTTGCATTTTCTATAGATCACTTACATAGGTGTTCCTGTCCTAATTACTTAATGGAAATAAGGCATAGTAATACATTAATTGCTAATTATATGCAATTTCTTTTTCAGGGCTCTGGGGCCTAGTAAACAACGCAGGAGTCAGTGTACCAGGTAGCACCACTGAATGGATGACTAAAGCTGATTTTGCCAAAGTCCTTGATATTAACCTACTGGGGTTGGTTGATGTGACGCTCAATCTCTTACCATTTATCCGGAGAGCCCAAGGGCGTGTGGTTAACATAGCCAGTGTTGCTGGAAGGTTCACTGCATGTCCTGGAGGCTACTGCATGTCTAAGTATGGAGTAGAATCCTTCTCAGACAGTCTTAGGTGAGACTTTGTGTTCTACTTCTGTAGAAAAAGGGCTAATACATAAATTGTTATTGGGCAGTTCTTAAACTCTTTTTAAATTAAGGACTAAAATAAGAAAATGATGACCATACTGAAAGCCAAGAAGGGTATTAGTACACAAATGTCTGAAAAGCCAAAAAAAGACAAATAACAATGTTGAATAATAAAAAACAAACAAATATGTTTGTTTCCTTTTTAGTATAGCATGTCCATTGGTTTCTTAACATTTAATAGACCTATTAGACGTGTTGACATCATGGGTCCTTAGACGGCTGGAGCCTGGGGGAGAAAAGGCTGCCGGTACCGGTCTAACAGCCAGGCAGAATTGAAGATCAGGTAAGTATATATTCTTTTATTTTTGACCTTAGGACAAAAGGAGCAGTTTTGGTCTAGAGTCACAAAATTTTGGTAGGTAAGAAACAACAGGTAGTGCATACTTGAAATAGCAGCTACAAACTTCGTGGTCCAGGCAGCTGCGGCACTGAGAAGGCAGAACTGGAGAGCCTCAAGGCAGGAACACGCATGTGGGGCTCAGAGACTACGTGGACAAACATTGCATAGGCATCTGTTCACAAAGTGCGCTGGCCTTTAAAGGACACAGTGGTACAGATGCGTCTGATTGGCTGCAACACCTGGGGGTAACACTCCGAAGTGTTCACAGCCATATGCCATAGAAGACGTGCCCATAGACTAAGGAAGCTAAGAAGCCGCTACACTGAGAGTCACACAGACAGGAAGTATGCTTGCAGCAATGCCCTTTACTTAAAATTCAAGAGTACACAGAGGGAAGATAAGGATTAGGGATGAGCTTCGCGTTCGACTCGAACCATTGTTCGACTCGAACATAGCATGTTCGAGCGTTCGCCGAACACCGAACATTATGGGATGTCCGCGGTCTGTTCGACCGCGGCACATCCCACAATGCACTGCGCCGTCCGAAGCGGCAATTGGCTACAGTCCTGCACCTGACCGCAGGTCAGGTGCAAGACTGTGCCAATCAGGGCTCAGTACAAATGTAGAGCCATGATTGGGCAGAGTCACGATGACTCTGCCCAATCATGTCTCACAGCTAAGTCCCTGCAGCACACTATATAAGGCTGCTGACACCGCGGCCCCATGTAGTGTGCTGTAGGAGCTAGAGAGAGAGGGTTCTAGTATAGTTAGTTACAGTCAGCAGATAGATAGAGAGTTATAGAGAGTTATAATAGACTTATATATATATATACACAGAAGTCTGATTATATATATATATATATATATAAAATCAGACTTCTGTATATATTCGAGTTCTATATAAATATCAATAAAATGTATATAAATGCAATTTTTGCTTCAGCAGGTTCTATACATCATACAGATGTGCCACTTTACGGTCAGTGAAAGGGGACCCCCCAGGCATCATATTTAAAGGAATTTTAAATTTTTAATGTTTCATTTTAAGTGATGTTAAATCACTGCTCCTTTAAAAATTGTATTTTTTAAAAGTGTTTTTTTCATTGATACATGTCCCCCAGGGCAGTACCCGGATCCCCATACACTTTTTATGGCCAATAAATTGCATATAAGGCTTCAAAATGGGGACATTTAAATTTCCGAGTTCTACCCCCATAGACTTGCATTGAGTTCTAAGTTCGAGTTAGAACTTTTTCCATGTTCGAAAGTTCGAGTTAGAACCGAACACGGGGGTGTTCGGCTCATCACTAATAAGGATGAGAAAATGATGGTGCACAGGTTTTTACCAAGCACCAGAAGCAGATGGGACTCAAACAGGTGAGCCTGGAGGCCTGCTCTAACTCCATCAAACATAACAACTGGCATATGAATAAATCCTTAAAGAGGATTTTAAAAAAACCTAACCCCTGCACTGCAAGGGTTAACTGCTCATTTTGGTTTAGGGGTGAAAATAAAAATAATATACTCCCCTGATCCTCGGCCCTGTAGCGGTCAGCGCTCACCACTCTCCGCCTCTCTCAATGGACCAGTCCACGCAGTCTCTTCTCACCTGGGCTCCAGTAGTCTAAGGACTGCTGATATCTTCACGCCTAATGCATATTTCATAGACTTCCCATGCCGGAGAAGGGGTTGAGAAAGATGAGCAATCACTGCCGCAGGATGGAGCATCAGGTGAGTTTATCTTCTTTTTTTCCGGCCCCTAGAGTTAAATGAGCAGTTAACCTTTGCAGTGCGGGGGTAGCCCCACTGCAAGGATTATTATTTTTTAAATCCGTGAGTTCTGCCTTTAAAATGCTTATAATGTATGTTTTCTACAGGCGTGAGATGAAACCGTTTGGAGTGAAAGTGTGCATCATTGAACCGGGATTTTTTAACACCCGAATAACAAATGCAGAAGTTCTAAAAGCAGATGTAAAAAGGACTTGGGAGAGCGCTACAGAAGAAGTCCGAAAATGTTATGGAGAGCAATATTATTTAACCAGTGAGTAATTTACCAAATTTCAAAACATCTTATTATAGGGAAAATATAACATTGTAGTAATTTTAGTTTAACTTTATTGAATTTCTTTTTGTTTACATATGCATTCCTTCATATTTTATTTGGGAGCTTGCATTACTTACATTTAAATAAAGAGGCTTTAAAGTAATCAAGCTATAGAACAACTAATGCTCAGGTAAATATGAATAGAAGAGATGAATCATCTACTAGGCTTGTTTTGTTCATCACAGATAAGAAGCTGACTCTTCTAAGAGGACTGAGCCTCAAAAATGTGGGTGCTGCAATTTCCTTCCAGATATTGGCCATTCTTCTGTTGTCCTTATAATATTTGTTCGGATGGTCATAGTTCTCAGGGTGCTCCTGGACCATGCTAATAAAGGATTTTATGGCCACCCATCTCTTGGCTGCCATTGTGATGCTAAATTATAGTCACAACACATGTATAACCAGCAAGTGAAATGGGGAAAAACTGGTCATAAGAGGAGCCAAACTACTTTCCCCAAAGTAGCATTTTTGTTAATTGCATTGCATTTACACTTGTTTACATATGTAGGTGGGTTGGCACTGTAAAAAAATGGAGTCTACAATACTTTATTTTCATTGCACTGCAACTCAAAGCCATGGTGTAAACCCTGCTCATTAGCTAACACAGATTTTGGACTGCCTATGCAGTAGGCATGAATTCAAAAATTCATCCCAGTGCATCTGGTGTGAATGAGTCTTAAAGGTAAAGATGAGAGAGTGGACGTGGGAAGATGTGAAGCATCATATAAACAGAGGGGGGGGGCTTATCAAAACTGGAGCAGATAGAATCCGGAGTAGATGCCCATGCTAACCATTCAGCTTCCCTTTTCAGTTTGTTCAGGTAAGCTTTGAAAATGAAAGATAGAAGCTGATTGGTTGCCATGGACAGTTTTGATAAATCTGCCTCAGGATATTTCTAATGGGAAAGTCATGGCTGCACACTTTTTGACATTCTGTCTAACTATCCTTTTAAGATTGGAAGGGTTGTCTCCTCTGTGATTCATTCATTAAACTTGCAGGCTGTTTAAAACAGAGAAGGGAATTTATCAAAACTGGAGCAGACAAAATCTGGAGCAGATGTGCATGGCAACCAATTAGCTTCTCTCTTTCAAATCTTAACTGAACACACTGAAGAGAGATGAGATCTTCCACAGCAGACACCTGTTCGGTTGACAACTCTCTAAAAGTTGATTTCCCTTTTCACTTTCCTCTCATTTCCTGTGAAATATCCCAAGGAGAAACAGAGCGCAAAAATAAATGTAACAAATTGAAAAAAGGCTCCCTCCTGTGATGTACTACAATCTCAAGTTTCTTTTACTTATTTGTATTGAGATTGTAGTCTATCACGGGAGTGAACTTTACAACGCACACAGGCAGGGCCGGATTTACTCCCCTTGCCGCCCCAAGGCCAGGTTGTGGAACCTGGCCTTGGGTTGGGGCTAGTTTAAAATTTTAGGCCCGGCGGACACCTTACACCGGAGCCCGCAACTTCCCACAAGGTCACCGCTGCCGCCCTCTGCCGCCCCGAGGCCCGGCCTCGGTGGCCTTGAGGGAAATCCGGGCCTGCACACAGGGACTATGGGGTACAAAAGTCCCCCAGAAGGAAGGACAGTGTCCGTACCAATTCAGAGATGATTTGAGGATCTACAGCCGAGTGATACATACTTCTTTAAGAACCTCACGGTGAGTTGATACATGCACTATACACCTCTCAACTTGCCTTTGTTTCACCTGCACCTATTTTTTGCTCCTCTCCCTCCCTGACACCTTCAATACTTCACGGAGGAGTAATATCAATTCACTGGTTCTCGGGCAGCATTAACCCTGCATGCCCCAGCCCACGTTTTCCCTTCATCTGTCCATCCCAACGGTAGTTGCGCCTCAGACTTTGTTTTTTCTGTCAGTGAGAGGCACTGTCAGTGAGAAGTCAGAGGCTTCGAATAGTTCTGCCGCAAGTTAGGTTACACTCAGCCTCCCCGCTGCTGTTTAACCTAACCTGGGCTGTCAGAAGCTGGATGCAGCACCGCATGTAATTAACAGGCATGCACTTCGTCCATGATAGGTTTCACAGTGGGGAAGGCTCTTCCTTACCTGCCTCCCCAGAGTGCACATCCCTGATGAATACGCCAAAAATAACTGATTAAACCTACTTCCTTCACCACTCCCTTTGCAGACCAAAAAAGGGACAGCCGAGGAGGAAAGGGGGAAAAGGGGATTTGGTTGCAAAAGAGGAAAATTATGGTCAATTGGGTGCTATGTTTATAGTCTAAAGTAGTGCCAAATAGAACACTCCTGCCAAGAGCTAGGGAGATATGTGAGTCAATCTTTATATGTAACATTACACATACTGAATATTATGTGCAGCCCTTTGGTGACATCAAGGGGTTGATTTACTAACCTTATAAACACACCACGAACATGTATACACCTCTGTAGTGTGTTCCCTCCCAGCATGATCTATGGGTGGAATCTAAACACCTTTGTAGTGTGTACACACCCAGCAGGTGTGTTGTGCAAAGCCTGGCATGAATTGCAAGGTGATGTTGTGTAAATTAGCTCTATGTTGTGTTACTTGCGTTGATGAATGCAGGAATGTAAATGCATGAGCTAACCATTTTTGTCTAAACTGTGAAGCAGCATTATATATGCATCATGTGCATGATTTTTCCATATATGGCATTAGTGGAAATATGCTTTTAGAGACTTTTTGGTTGATAAATACGTTTTGCTGTGTGAAAATCATACGCACCTGGTGCGTGCGTGTGTTTAGGTTAGTAAATCACCCCCCAAGGGTCAGAACTGAGGCCCTCTATGCTTGTAAGTCAACCACCATTAGTAGCAGTGGTTCTCAACCTGTGTAACCTCAGGACCCACATTTGTCCCTTGTCATTAAGTAGCGACCCAAGTCACACTGCAATGGAACGCACGGCATTAGGGTACCGCGTGTTCCAGTGCTGACGTACGAACTGTGGGTGGGAGGCGCATTTGGGGTACCATTCAAATGAATGGCAACGCAACACACCTCTCACAACAGAATGCATGGTAGGTGCGATTGCGTAGTACGGTGTGTTAATATTGTGGTACTATGTGATTAATGCACTGTGCTAGTGTGAACAGGCTCTCAAAAACACTGACACAATCTGACACTCACAGATATTTTGACACACATACACACTCCAAAAAATTTTTTCATTCAATTACATTTTTTTCAGGTCCACCCGGTCACCCTATCTCACTAGAACTGGAGTGGATCCTCAGCCTGGGGTCCAGTGTGGGCTGCTGTGCTGTGACAGAGCTCCATCCATACATGCATTGCTTGTACAGGTCCCTTACATGCCCTACAGAGGTTCCAAGAGCCAGAATTTAATGTCACCATGGCACCTCTATAGGACATGTGAGGGAGTTGCAAGCAATGCACGTATGGATGGAGCTCACAGCCATAGCCCCATCCCACCTCAAGCTGACACTCGGCGCCTTGCAGCATATTTTGAATGGCTGCTTGGTGCGAGAACTGACAGTGCTGCGCTAGGGGGAGGCAGAGGAGCCTCTCACTTATAAAAGTGGAAGGCATGTGGCGACCCACTGAAAACGGGGTCGTGACCCACTGTTGGGTCACGACCCACCAGTTGAGAACCAAGGGTTTAAAGTATGCTTGAAGCTTATCTAAAACAAAACTTTTTTTTTTGTTAGTTTTGATATAGTGAAGCAAGGGTTTGAAGCACTCAAGTTTTTATTGCTGGCTGTCCATTCATTGTAACCACTGTCTTTGGGATTAAACACAATGCAAAAGCCATCAGCACGAAAACAGGAATAGAGGGGAAATCTTCAATTGGGGACACTAGTTCTGGTGGCAACTAAGGGTACCCAAACACTGTGGGAATTTCGGCCGGTTTTTAATGAAAATGGCTGAAACTTACACAGTGTGTGCTGCTGTCGGCTGCCTTTCGGCAGGCATCCCTCGATTACCTGATCGAAGGAGCCAGCCGGAAAATCTTAATTCGATCAGAGCTGGCAGTAAATGAGCTCCCGGCTCTTCTCGGCTGGTGGCCGCTGTCAGAATGCAATGTAAACAGCGGGACTTCTTGATCGACATGCTCTGTTGATGGAGGAATCGGGCCTATTTTTTTCCCGCTCAGCCCACGAGTTGAACAAGAAAAGTAGAGCAGTGTATGGCCAGCCTAAGAGGGGGATTTTCTTAAGTTTGGAATTATTTAATCTCACTTATTGTTATATCTACTGGACAGGAAGTGAAGGTAGCTGTTCCCAATTGGACACAGGTGGCATAAAACCTCAACGATTCCTACAACTCTACCCAAAATAAAAATGTGTTTATTTTTAACTTTTTTTTTTTATAGGCCTAAAGATTCTTGAAGCAATGAAACCAATATGCAACACGAAACTGCATCTGGTCCCAGAAGCAATAGAGCACGCTCTGTCTGCAGTTCATCCGTGGACACGATATTCTGTAGGCTGGGATGCTAAGCTCATTTTCCTGCCTCTGTCCTATTTCCCCACATTTATCCTGGACTTTCTCTTAACCATTTCACAGCCTAAACCAGCCCAGGCAAAGTGATTGTGTATTTTGATTGTCCTGTTTGGCAAAACGTGCTAAAATATGAACTGAATGTTGTAAAAGAATATAAAAATTAATATCTTGTCAGCCTGCCAAGACAATAGTAGGCAGTAGGAAGCATGATCAAATATGTCAACTGAATATTTCTATCAAATTCTGTTAAGTGGAAAATATAGCGCTGCTTTGTTTTTATTTGAGCTATTACTGTGTGTTTATATTAACGTAATATTTGCTATGACTATATTTTAAATGCTTTCTCTTCCATGTAATGGCATTGTATTAAATGGTGATTTATAGATTAGCCACTAAGGGGAGCTCTGTACAGGTATTCCTCACTTAACGACCGAGTTCCGTTCCTACGACCAGGTTGTTAAACGAATTGGTCGTTAAGTGAGGAACTCTATACAGTACTGTACTGCATTAGTACAGTACTGTATAGCGTTGCAGATGTACAGTACCGAACAGTGTACTGTACATCGGGCAATGAAAATACTTACTGGGACCCACAGTGAAGATCAGAGGACGTCACTTCCGCCGGCGACACGTCGCACTGACGCTGACACGCGAGGTCGCTCGGCGGTCTGTCGTAAGTGCGAGTGGTCGCAAAGCAGGTAAGTCGGTAACCGAGGAATGTCTGTAATTGATTTAGCCTCTTATCTGAACTTTTGCAGCCAAATTGGCATAACGTCTATATTATATTTGTTTCTCATTCACATAGCATCATTTGAATTTGCTGTTTGCACAGTATATGCTCTATTCTGAAAGGAAAGTTATTCTCTGTACTGAGTTTCGCACTGGTGTGCAAAGGCAGCTGTGCATGTTAATGTTAACATAATTAAACCTGTCTGTGCTGTGCTGGCAAATCTCATTATCAGTTGTAAACTAGATTTGACACTATCTGTCCTAAAAAAAGTTAAAAAGCTAGAAACATTATGGGGGTTATTCACGTATGAGACGAAGGATCCAGCCGTAGCTTCGGCTCACTTCGGCCGACGGAGCCCCTCGGTTCAGTCGAACCAAAGGGCTGCTGTACAGGCTATTCACTACACTGTGCACAATTATTAGGCAAGTGAGTATTTTGACCAAATCACCATTTGCATGCATAATGTCCTAATTCCAAGCTGTATAAGCTTGAAGGCTTATTGGATTTAAGCATATCAGGTGATGTGTATTTGTATAATGAGGGAGGGTGTGGCTATAGAAAATCACAACCCAATATCAAGGTGTGCATAATAATTAGGCAGCTTCTTTTCCTCAGGCAAAATGGGCCAAAAAAGAGATTTAACTGACTCTGAAAAGTCAAAAATTGTAAAACGTCTTTCAGAGGGATGCAGCACTCTTGAAATTGCTAAGATATTGGGGCGTGATCACAGAACCATCAAACGTTTTCTTGCAAATAGTCAACAGGGTCGCAAGAAACGCGTTGAGAAAGAAAGACGTAAATTAACTGCCAAAGATTTGAGAAGAATCAAACCTGCAGCTACCAGAAACCCATTATACTCCAGTGCTCCCGAACTGCAAACTACCTGGAGTGCCCAGAGTACAAGGTGTTCGGGGCTCAGAGACATGGCCAAAGTAAGGAGGGCTGAAACCCGACCACCACTGAACAAGACGCATAACTTGAAATGTCAAGACTGGGCCAAGAAATATCTGCAGACAGATTTTTCAAAGGTTTTATGAACTGATGAGAGGGACTCTTGACAGGCCAGGCGGATGGGCCCGTGGCTGGATCATAAACGGGCACAGAGCCCTACTTCGACTCAGACGTTAGCAAGGTGGAGGTGGGGTACTAGTGGGCCGTTATTATTAAAGATGAGCTAGTTGGACCTTTTCGGGTTGGAGATGGACTCAAAATCAACTCCCAAAACTACTGCCAGTTTTTAGAGGTCCCTTTCTTTAAGCAATGTCTGCATCTTTCAAGAAGTCCATGATATTTATTCAGGACAATGCTCCATCGCATGCATTGAAGTACTCCACTGCATAGCTAGCCAGTAAAGGCCTTAAAGAACAAAGAATAATGACATGGCCCCCTTCCTCACCTGACCCAAACCCTATTAAGAACTTGTGGGTCCTTCTTAAACGGGAGATATACAGTGAAGGAAAACAGTACACCTCTCTGAACAGTGTCTGGGAGGCCGTGGTTGCTGCTGCACTAAAAGATGATTGTCAACAATTGAAGAAACTGACAGACTCCGTGGATGGAAGGCTTATGACTGTTATTGGAAAGAAGGCGGGCTATATGAAAATGTCAGAAATGTTTATTTGTACATTTTGAGTTGTGTGTTTATTATTCTCACTTTAACAGATGAAAATAAACAAATGAGATGGGAAATTTTTCGTTTTCCATTTAGTTGCATAATAATCCTGCGCACTAATAGCTGCCCAATAATTGTACACACGTAGATATTGTCCTATGAAAGCCAAAACCTCACTTTTACTTTCTTAAATATTCAGGTTTGAGGATTATTACCATTTTGGATTGACCGAGAGCACTGTAATTGTTCAATAATAAAATTAATTCTCAAAAATACAACTTGCCTAATAATTGTGCACACAGCCGAAGGCAGCCGAACGGCTCAGCCGAGCTAAAGGCATCTGCTTCAGCTCGACTGAGCCGAAGTGTCAGCCAAAGCGCGGAGAAAGGTCGGCTGAAGCCAACTGACCTCCACACAAATGACAGCTGGGCGGAGCCAGCCGTGATCTCATGGCTCGCTCTGCCCTGTTGTAATGACAGATCAGCCTCCTCAAATGACCTGGGGACGCGGATCTGTCATTAAACATAACCGGGTAGAGCAGATCATGACGTCAGTTGTTATTCATTGGCCGGGACCTGCTAGAAGACTCTGGCACGTGTCGGCCAATAGGAAACCGTTTGGCGGAGCTAGGTGTCACCGCTACCTCCACCCAATTGTTTTTATTTTGCCGGCATCTGTCAGATGCCTTATTATATGGTAAGGTCGGCATGCGTAAAAAAAAAATTATTTTTTCTTTTTAAATCTTTTTTTTCCATTTTCCTATTTTTCTACGTAATTTTTTTTCATTCATGTAACTGTTTTGCTATTTTGCCCACTACCTCGGAGGTAACAAGCAGAGTAGCCAAGCCGAATGCCGCTAGGCAGCATTCAGCTATTCACTTATCGCCGTTCGGCCCCTTTGAGGATAGGGGCGACCGGTAGCGAGTGAGCTGCTGGAGCTTCGGCTCAGCCAATCCAGATGTTGGATCGGCTGAGATAAAGTCCTTCTGCACAGCTGAAATCAGCCTTACAAGGTTGAAGTGAATAACTGAACAGCGTTCGGCTCACTTCACTTCGGCTCGGTTATTCACTCGGCTACCTTTGGCAGCTAAGTGAATAACCC